CCCTCAGCCTGTCCTCATAGGGGAGGTGCTCCAGCCCCCTGATCATCTTAGTTGCCCTCCTCTGGACCCTTTCCAAAATCTCAATGTCTTTCTTGTACTGAGGGCTCCACACCTGGACACAGTACTCCAGATGGGGCCTCACAAGAGCCGAGTAGAGAGGGACGATCACCTCCCTGTCCCTGCTGACCACCCCTCTCCTGATGGAGCCCAGGATCCCATTTACCTTTCGAGCTGCCAGAGCGCACTGCTGGAGCTCTCCTTCTATGACCTAGTGATCCATCTGGTGGATGAGGGAAAGGCTGTTCACAGAATCACAGAATCACAGAATGGCCAGGGTTGGAAAGGACCTCAAGGATCATGAATCTCCAACCCCCCTGCCACATGCAGGGCCACCAACCTCCACATTAAATGCTAAACCAGGCTGCCCGGGGCCTCATCCAACCTGGCCTTGAACACATCCAAGGATGGAGCATCCACAACCTCTCTGGGCAGCCTGTTCCAGTATCTCACCACTCTCTGGGTAAAGAACTTCCCCTGATGTCCGACCTAAATCTCCCCTCCCTCAACTTAAACCATTTCCCCTCGTCCTACACGTATCAACCCTTTCAAAGAGTTGATTCTCCTCCCCTCTGTAGGTTCCCTTTAGGTATTGAAAGGTTGTAATGAGGTTACCCCACAGCCTTCTTTTCTCCAGGCTGAACAAGCCCAGCTCCCTCAGCCTGTCCTCATAGGGAAGGTGCTCCAGTCCCCTGATCATCCTACTGGCCCTCCTCTGGACCCTCTCCAACAGCTTCCTGTCTTTTTTGTACTGCAGGCTTCACACTTGGATGCAGTATTCCAGATGGGGCCTCACAAGAGCAGAGTAGAGGGGGACAATCACCTCCCTGTCCCTGCTGGCCACCCCTCTTTTGATGGACCCCAAGATACCATTTGCCCTCCGAGCTGCAAGAGCGCACTGTTGGCTCATATTAAGTTTTTCATCTATCAGGACCCCCAGGTCCTTCTCCACAGGGCTGCTTTCAAGGACCACTCCATCCAGCCTGTATGGATGCCCGGGATTCCTCCGGCCCAAGTACAAAACTCTGCACTTTGCCGTGTTGAACCTCATCAGGTTCACCCGGGCCCACCTTTCTAGCCTCTCGAGGTCCCTCTGAATGGCATCCCTTCCTTCAACCGTGTCGACTGCACCGCTCAGCTTGGTGTCATCAGCGAACTTGCTGAGGGTGCACTCGATTCCTACATTGATGTCATGGATAAAGATGTTGAAGAGCATCGGTCCCAAGACAGACCCCTGGGGGACGCCGCTCGTTACCGGCCTCCACCTGGACATAGAGCCATTGATGAGTACCCTCTGTCTGCGACCTTTCAACCAGTTTCTTATCCGTCGAGTGGTCTACCCATCAAATCCACATCCCTCCCATTTGGAGATGAGGATGTGGTGGGGGACCATGTCAAAGGCCTTGCTCAAGTCCAGGTAAATGACATCGGTCACCTTTCCCTTATCCACCGATGCCGTCACTCCATCGTAGAAGGCCACAAGATTGGTCAAGCATGACCTTCCTCTGATGAAGCCGTGCTGACTGTTGATGTGGTCTATTTTGACTTCAGCAGAGTCTTTGACTCTGCCTCCCACAGAGAGAGAAGCTGATGGCCCATGGCATGGACAGGTACTTTGGACACTCTTGGACACTCTTTTTTGGGCGAAGAACTGGCTGGAAGGCAGTAACCAGAGCGTGGTGATAAATGAAGTAAAATCCAGTTGGCAACCAGTCACAAGCAGTGTTCCCCAGGGGTCAGTAGTGGGGCCTGTCCTTTTCAGTATCTTTACTTTTGACCTGAATGAGGGCATTGAGAGCACCCTCAGTAAGTTTGCAGATGACACCAAGCTGACCTGAAGTGTTGATCTGCATGGGGGTAGCAAGGCCCGGCAGAGGAATCTGGGAAGGCTTGATCACTGGGCTGAAGCCAATGAGATGAGGTTCAACGACACTAAGTTGTGGCACTTTGGCCACAACTATTCCAGGCAATACTACAGGCTTGGGGCAGAGTGGCTGGAAGACTGTGTTAGAGGAAATGAACCTGGAGGTATTGGTCAATACTCAGTTAAACATGAGCCAAAAGTGTGCCCAGGTGGCCAAGAAGGCCAATGGCATTTTGGCTTGTATCAGAAATAGTGTTGCTAGCAGGAGCAGGGAAATAACTTTATCTCTGTACTGAGCAATGGTGAGGCCACACTTCAAGTACTATGTTCAATTTTGGCTTCTCACTACAAGAAAGACATTGAGGCCCTGGAGTGTGTTCAGAGAAGGGCAGTGAAACTGGTGAACTATTGTTCAGAGTTCCCAAAGTCTTGTGAAGAGGCTTCCTCTCCTAAAATTATGTTTTAGGAGGCATTTTTAGTATCAGTGAGGTAGGCAAAGGAGTTGTGGAAAATTTTATTGCCTTTACTACGGATATTCTCCGTCCTCAAGACATACAAGCCATAGAGGTCAAGATGTCCTATTAAGACTGTTCCTATCATAAATGCAGGAATGGTACAACTTTAAAAGGAGCCTATATTTTTTGCATACTGATTTAACTTTAGTTAAGAACTGATAACTTGTAGTATTAAACATGCTTTGCAGCTGAGATGGTGATATGAAGTGATAATAAAGAAGATGAATCAAATCAGCAATAAGACAGCACATAACACTATGTAATAATATATGGAAAGCCTGAAGAGACTTGAGATCTTTTGAATTGGCACATTTTGTCTGAAAGTACATTCATTATCATTGCTTCTCTGCCTTGTGTTTTAGATTCTGAACAATGACTCAGTTTCTAAAGTCCTCATGAAAGATTATTCTTTGGAGGTGGAATAAAAAAAAAGCTAAGAGAAGAGAGAATTTGAACTGGCAGTTTGTCATCAACTCAGCAAATTTGATACTGTATGTTAAAACCAATGCCAGCACATTCTGGCAAGAAACTAGCACAACACTGAAAATACCACTTTATCCTTTGAATGTGCTACAAGTAACTGTCTTAAAAACTACTTCTTTTCTTTTTAAAGTCCGCAATTCTATTGGTATGGATTTTGCTTGTTTAAGCAAGGATTTTGAATCAAAATAAATAATATGTAAAAAATAAAAGTAGTGCAAAAAATGCATATATATATATATATATGTATAAGTAACATCCTCATAATTGAAAAAGTACTTTGATTCAAATTTCTATGCTGTATGACCTAGGAAGGACTTTCACATTGAGAATCTTTCTTTTCTTATTCTACTTTCTACAGAGTACTAGATGTGTAATCATTCTGTCATGAGCTCTTCATTTCTGTAATATTTTCCTTTCATGTTAGCCATGTCAGACTTCTTGTCACCTTTTCTTTCATTTACCTCTCATACTTCTCTCTTTAAGTGCTCATTTCATTCTATAGATACAACCAACTCTTTGCATAGGTACATTTTGAGAGGCATAAAATATGTCCATATTGATGTCAGCAGAACTGCTTTTCCGAAGTGTAACTCAGTTTTCTTGACTTAATAAGGTTCATACAGGGATGAGCCCAGTTTGAAAGAACTGAGTTTCTAGAAGATGTGATTTTGAGATCTCCTAGTTCATTCCCGCACTTCTGGAGCTCTGGTTTATGGAACAAACAAGGATAAATGTAAAGTCATCTCCATACTAAACAAAACAAACAAACAAAAAGATGAAATGTGAGCTTTTCAACACTAGCTCTTCAGGCTCTGCTCTTATTGTGCTTATTCAGCTAAGGTGAACATGCACATAATTTTATTTAGTCACAGACTGACAGATTTTTTTTTCTTTAAATTATATATTTGAGAAAAAAATTTCAAATGCAGTCTCTTTACAGTCTTAACAAGTTTCCTTAGTATAGAAAATATCTTGAGTAGTTTCTGGGAAACAATTTTCTATGAAATGTCAATGCTCCTAACTTCCAGGTTACATACAATTGGAGTATTTCTGACTCTTCAACAAAAAGTATAAATCATGGAAGTGCACTTTAAGAAATCCAATTAAAAGAAAATTTGTAGAGGTGTGATTCCTCCAATATCTGATCAGTCATGGAGTTTCTTATTGTGCTATCTGAATAAAGTATTGCTAGTCTTTTGCTGGTTTAGTTACAAGTGCTAATGTGTGACTTCTTGAGCCTCCACATTCTTCAGGGAACAGTGTAAAAATAAAAATGACTGAGAAACCTCTTTCACTTCTGCTCTCAGGAAGTACAGATTTTCAAATGTGCGGTAAAGTTTTTTTGAAATGAGATATCTTGGTGACGAAAGCTTCTGCTCTGTTTCTGTCCATAGATTATAAATCTGTGAACACCAAGAAGTTTTAGCTGCAGAGCTGTTCACAGACAATTTTGAAAGGTTCAGTATTACTAATCACCATTATTCCATAAAAATGTCAACTTTTCCCCCAACTCTAATCCCATATGCTGTTGATCACAATCTTCTGCCTTTCATCAAATGAGGCCCTAAATGAACTTAGTTCATTCTTTTCACCCCAGAGCAGTTCACCCAAGTTCAAGAATAAGTCATAAAAGACCAAGAAAGGAAATCTGCATTGTATCTGCATCTTTCCAAAACTTAAAAATATATCTATGTTGATAGCTTTAAAAAAATTGCTAATGTATTTATATTTATTTTAGAAACTGAAAATGCATACTATTACTATTATGTTCTAACCAATTATTCACATTCAAGAAAACAAAAAAAATCATTTTCATTTTACTCTGAATTAATTTTGTTTTACTAGACTGCGTGGTGATTCTTCATAACTGTTCATCTGAAAGAGGATCATCATACACTCTAAGTCAGATCTGGTTACTCAGTTATTAAAGCAGATCAAAACCAATACTGGCAAGGGACTACATTAAGTACTACAATTAGTACTTTTAGCAAAAGTAAAGTTTGCACAGCTACGTCTGTCCTGAAATCTGAAAAAGGTTAATCTGCCGGTTTTGTCACTCTTAATTTTATCTTTCTTTCCAGAGAAGCTTTAAATACTATTAATATAATGTCAAAAATTCTGAAAGACAGCTACAAATGATGTAGCAGGAATCTCAATACTATACAGGTATGTGTTATCATTTATGTGTGATGTTCCCATAAACCTATGCAATCTGTGTAAATGTGGTACCATATGTAAATGATACAGAAAAATTAAATTCATTTTACACTGACTAGCAATTAAATTACAATAAAAGCAGAGGTAAATACTGTTAATGGAGTTTATGAAGTAATTGGCTGATGCGCTCTTATCCCTGTATGATTTCATAACTGAATTTCTTCGCCAGATTTACATAATTTATATTTCTTGATCAGCTACGCTGAAATGTATGTAAGTTTTATAAAATTCTGATCAAGACCTTGATTTTTTGACTCTTACTTCTTGCATTTGGGGATTCCTGAATACTAATAAAGGGAGATTATGCCAATTTCTCTTGTGATGCAAATCATAGTAATACTAGTTTATACCAGCTGAGATCTATCTCACAGTAATTCTACTCTTTCTGTTTTATGTTGTCTGTATATCTTCTGTGCTGATGATATAGTTTAAACAGCATCTACAGGGACTTTCCTTTTTTTCAATTAGGAAAGAGGTCATTAAGGGTACAGTTTTGAGAAAATACAGAAAGAAGTGTAGGAACAGGTCTTAAGCTCATAAATGTTCTTAATTATATATTGTGTCCTTACTGTAAAAAAATTACTTTCAGGTCATTCTGTCTCTTTTATCAGAATAAATCACCATCATCATGTATTCATTTGTGCAGTCAATTCATGACATAATAGTGTCAGAGGTGGCACAGAATATTTATGTATATGCTCAAATTCCAACACGGTGACCCAAACTATGTCTACAGCTGCCAAGCAGACTGCCACAGATGCTTAGCAGAAAGAGTTTGTTTTAGAGAAGTATTTGGTCCTACTGAAGGGAGGTAAATGAAGCAACATCTTAGTGAAGTAGCTCAAGGAAGCTCATTTACTGCATAACTGAAAATAGTTTTGACTACCTCACAGTAACCTCTGGTTCATGTTGGAAAAAATGCAACATCATAAGCTGTATTAATTGGTAAATTTTTCTTCATATGGAAGGAGAAATAGAAAATAAAGGTGTGCTAAATTTCAGAATTGAAGTGCATCAGTAGTATTGTGTCAGTATTCTTTCATAGTATAAAACAGCATTTACGGATATTGCTCAGGGTAAGCTTACTAGATATTTTTGCATATTAGAAAAAGAAAGGTAATTCTCAAGTTACAAAAGTTTAAGTTCAAAGTTTCTATGCAATGCTTGCCATTCCTAAGAAAAGTGATTCAGTTCCATTCTTGGCAGAAGGCTAAATCCTGCAATGATAGGCAGAAATGATAGTCAGGAGACTGAGTTCAGCTCCTGGATTTTCTAAAGTATTTTCTAAAGAATTTCTATGTAGCCAAAGCAGGATACTGCAAAACAGGAGGATTTTTCATTTTTCAGGGTTACCACCCTGGAAACAACTCTGGTATATCTGATTCCACAGTGCATGTAATATAAAGATACTTTGCAGAAGGAATTTCTGATGTTTGGCTTGTTGTGCATCTGCAATTATAAGTACACCCAGCACCTGCATAGTGATTCTTAATTCACCTATGGATATAAATTGAAAAATGTAGGGTGATCATGAGAAAATTCATCTGCTATCACACGGATGCTGATGTATCATTGTGTTTGATTCTGCACTTATACTTTATATGAACATATAAAGATTCAGTGACTCCTGAGCAAGAACTCAGGAAACACAGATCACAAGAGGTATTCCCAGAAAAAGACTAGAATGAGCTGGCAATATAGCATGCACGCACGCATACTGAAATTAACTCATTTTGAAAATGAAGGAAAAAGGAAAGAAATAGTCTAACGTCACTGTTTAACATATTTTCATTTGGTAGTTTATTCCATCCTTTATTTTCTTCCTAATACCAGCCTAATTATGGCATATTCTAGTTACTGTTTGCTAAAACATAGCAATAATAGTTTTCAGCATAGAAAAATCTCACACGTCCTGGATATTTGTTGAACATCAAATTTCTTTAGCTTGTGAGAAAATAAGTAACTAAAGTATTAGGAAAAATGAAATGCAGGACTCTACACGTTGGAAAAATAGTTTTATGCTGATGACCTTATTCATATGAACTGGCATCTCATTGCATAGAAACACATTTCTGATTGTGCTGACTGAACAATTTACAAAATGGTATGACAAAAGCACTTTTCTTATTTATGCATTATAAGAGCTACAGTAGTACATATATCTCACAATTCCAAACTAACCTCAGTTTAACTGAGTGAGTTCTTAATATACATTATAGTAACGGATCTTATTTATACCTATGCCTACTTGATGATAGAAATGTAAAGAAAAGTATGTGTTTTAGCTATTCCCAATTTGATGTTCTATTTGTTTGTTTTACAGGACTTTTTCTCTGATAAATGGTGAGACAATCTTGGGCACTGAAGAAAGAAAATCTTATTTTATTTAAAATTATTAGTAAAGTTAACAAAGAACATGATACATTGTCTTGGCTTCTTAGAATAACTTTCAAGCTCATGCTGGCACATGCAGAAAGCTTATGATGATTATGCACTTCAGAATTGTCAGCGATTCATACGCTGTTGCTAACACAGATGAATCTGGATCCAACACGTCTTAAAGATTCTCAATGTGAATTCAGCTTTAGTAGGATGTTTAGTGATGCACCTAATTGTCAACATTGTTCACATGTTTGGAACACAAGCATCAGATCCATGAATACCAGATACTATCTATAATCTGATCTGAAGTATGCTAAAATTGCCTCTAACTGAATAAAATAATAATTCTCATGAAGAAAATTCCATATTTGATCCAAATTATGGTCACTCTGCCTGTCTTTAATTCACTGATTTGAATCCATTATTAGTTCTGCCACAGTGCTTATTTGAAGGATTGCTTCTGAAAATGTTTTCCAGGGGTTCTTGTCACTTGACTTGAGTACGTGTAGTAGCATTCTATTAATCCATTCTGTTTCATACGTTTGCACAAAGTACAATTAATTTGATGACAAAGACATGTAAAACTCTGTTGATCTGTCAAATTCTTTAATTTGTCAGATACGTTGTGGTATAGAAAAGCCGTCTATTTTCAGGAAAAAAAAAGTCTTTCTGGTAAAGAAAATTTATTCTCACCTTACTATAATTCATATTTATCAGAGTTATATGTTATATAACGTACTAGTTAGTGCTTCTGTGTCTCAGAAAAAATATTAGCACAAGAAATACTCCCTCTGATATACCTTTAGGTAGCAAGTATAAATTCAGACCACTTGATCTGCCATTCAACTAGACACAATAGAAGGCACTTTGTTTCACCGTGTCTCATAATACTGGGTAACGAAACAGTGTAGATGTAGCCCACTGACAGTAACTGCAGAACTTCAATCTCTTAAGAAACTCAGGATCACATAATCACCTGCTGCTTTCAGAAGAAACTGTGGATTGCACCCTTTCTTGGTCTAGGATTTAGTTATATTGAAGGTAAGCCAAAATACTTATATATCCCACCATGTCAAGACTAATACATTTATTCAGACAGTTTGAAATAAGTAAAGGCAGTAGAGGAAATCCTACATTTTCATGTGAAGATTTAATCCCTTTAAAATGAAGAAGTTGGTATTTCATTCTGTTTTCTTTTGCAATAGCTACAATGGGATTCATAATTACTTGTTGACTACATTACTGATGTACTGTGAAGTCTTGGATGAGCAATAATTCCACAGACATTAGTTTTCCAACATCAAGTAAAATAAAACATTAGTAGAAATAGAAAATTAATAGAAAACATTGTTTATTCTCTTAAAAAAAAAAACAAATATTTTTAATGCTCAATAAGATCTCTGGAGAAAGTACTCAGTAATTATATGGTTTTATTATTGCTTTAACACTTGACATATTTTCCATTCAGAAGTAAAACTTCTGTAATTTTTATTTTTCAAAACAACTGTTCACTGTGACAAAATGACAGAAACTTTATTTAAAAAGGTAGGATAAATATACAGACCAGAAGAAGAGTCAAATAACTTAAAAGAACATCAGTACTGTACAAAGATTTTACTGGGAAAGATTCCATTTCTGAGTGTAAGACTGTTGTGGTTTTATGTTTTTTTGTTTTTTCGGGTTTCAGTATTCCACATCAAAACATCATGTAGTGTACAGGGCATTAAAGTATTAATGCCCCAATTCTAGGTACCTATCCCTGTACATTACAGAAGTCATGGGATCTGGCCCTTCCGGATGGGGAAGGCGCTCTCTTGCTGCCTTGCAGTGGGTGCTGGAGGGTGCTTTCCTAGCTGTTCCAAGCTTTTCAGGTTTGACTTGGTCCCGGGAACTCTCTCTCATCTTGTCTGACTTATTAGTCTCAATTTCAATTAAATTGTATTATACTGTGTTATTTTGTATTCCGGTATCATAGTAAAATAAGTTTTCCTCCATAGATTGTTGCTGCTGTTCTTTTCCTCCCTTCCTTCCTTCCCATTTTGTGGGACTGGGTTGGGGGAGGGAAGGGCAGAGGCCTACTGCCCCCCGTCATGGGCATAGATTGATCAAGTCAACTCTGTGACAAAGACCTTTGGTGAGAAATAACAGGAACAACGTGAGCAACAAGAAAATAGAGTGATAAATTGATTCAAGATCCTTTGAAATTACAATTTTAAATATCCAAGGATGGCTAAACCTAAACTAATAGAAGCTGATTTTAGGATTGGGTCTGATTATGTTAAATGTTACATAATGATAAAATCTGTCTTAATGATGGAAGAGAAAATCACTGCTAGAGTAAAACTCATTGTGTTTAGCAGAGTTTATACTAGATGTGAATTTTACTCTGAATATTAAAAATTGGTTAGTAGAACATGATAAAAATCTTTCTAAAATATAGCAATTTTATTTATAAGCCGAAGGGTGGGTAACTGGCAGCTGCTTTTGCAGGACCAAATGGCATCAGTGGCTGCATGAGCAACAATTTTGTTTTTTTATATTAGCAATTCAAATGCAGATATACGATTAGTCTTTTATTTGAATGATTCGTCAGAGTTTGCTGCAATGCTAATCCTTTCTTTCTGAATGTTCTGTAAATTTTCAGTCAAAACAGTATTCCTTTTCTCCACACCACAAAAGAGAGGTGAAAAGAACAGAGAAAAGTATATCAAAGTAGATCTACTAAGAGTATTAAGAAGTTTTTGATGTTTAAACCATATCTTAAACATTATTTACAATCTAGAAATTCAGTGCACTTCCAAACCTAATAGAAAATTCTGAAATATGCTTCTCTTGGACATTCCATGCACATGTAATGCTTTCAGTGATTTTCATGCATGAAAGAATCACCAGCTCTTCATCCTGTTGTTAGTAACAGCTACAACTGCCTCATTAGAAAATTTTATTCTGTAATTACAATGCCCCGACTTATTCTAAATAGCTCTTTCCAGTTATGTAATGATTTTTCAATATTGAATCCTTCTAAGACAGTCAGTTACTAGCCATTCTCCCCCAGAAGAGCAATGAAGCATTTTTATACTTGATATACTTGTTCATGTCTGGTTCTTCAGTTTTAAACCTAGAAGCTCCCTCACCTTCTGAAATTCCTTGCTTTATCAAGTGATTTTATTATATAAAGCCATTACTGAAGACTTGTTTATTATTCATCACTTGCTAACATGAAAAGTCTGGAAGCTATTCAGCATTCAGCAAAGTAGATTAATCTCTGTATCCGTATATTAGAAGAGATGCAGCCAGAATTCATCCCATTTTAAGCATCCGTGAATGTCTGCATGGTATCCTTGAAATTTGGGGCCAGGTTCTGATAGGTAGCCAAATAAATTACATCTCTGAATACACGGTATGGTAGACATCAACATATCTAGGAATCTGGGGAAAACTTGGTACACAATTTTGTATACATCGGTACCTATAACTCAGCTGGCATGAGATGAATTGTCATATGCCAGCCTGAGTGAATCAGTAACAGTTTGCTTACTTCACTTCATCTATTAAGATGAACTGGGAATTATAAAAACTCAATCTGTTTTGAAATATTTTGATAATCTGAAATAATTTTTATGTCTTCTTTTTTATTATTACTCTTTATTATTATTATAAAAGATTCTTTTAAAAGTATCAAATATCAAAATTTATACCCACCAATTTTAATAGTCAAGGGTCCTAACCTGGGTTAATTACCAGAAGTTGTGATTAAGGATAACAGAAAAAAAGCATTTTAAGTTTTTCTGATAATTCTTGAATTTTCTAGATCAGAAATAAATGGTTATCAGAAACCTAAATAATTAGTTTATATTTGATTTATAGTCTTGATTTGAAGATTTTTGCTGTGACAAGGAAAAAAAAGATGAACTGGGGAAATGAGTGGAGAGAAGAAAAAAGATGAAGGAAAGCTCTGATCCTGAAAGAAACAAGGCGAAGAAAAAAAAAAAAAAAACGAACAGGAAAAAAAAGCTGAAATTTTATAAGGATCCACCATTATTTTTTAATTTTCTTGCCACTGTAAGCATATTTTATGTAGATTCTACTCTTAAGACAGAATCAAAATAGTATCTGTGCTATTTATGCATTTTTGATTGCCTCTATTCCCAGTCAAAACTGAAATATTACTGAATGATTTTAGTTTTCTCCATCTCAGCTACTTTTGCATTCTATTCCAATTTCTGGTACAAATCTGTATTATGACACTTTTCATAAGTCAACTCTATTCATACATAACATAGTATTATGACACACAAGAAATATCTGCTTTCCAGTCACTAGATATTTAGCATGTGTGGGCTTTTCAATACAATTCGACCGTGACCCACTTTACTAAATTGTTCAATTTCACTCACCTTTAGAAAGCAGTTTCATAATTCACAACTCTGTGAACATCTTAGTGCTATTATGTGTCACAGCTGTATGATTTTTTGGTTATCAGTATTCCATATCATCTCATGTAGTGCACTGGGAGTTAAAGATGCTCCCGTTTCGGGTACCTGCCCAGAAGAGAAGAACTACATACCCCAGAGCCCTTAGCATTCAGAAAGGAGATAAAATCCTTGGCAAAGTCACAGGACCTTGCTCTCTTCCCTTCTGCTCATTCCAACTGCACGTCTCACCTCAGCATTGGAGTAAGGCCTTCAGTTTTCGGACACTTTCATTTTATTTGATTAATTAGCTTCAACTCTAATTATATTGTATTATGTTGTATTATAGTGTGTAATCTTGCATTCCAATATCTTATTTAGTTAAATAGTTTGTTTCTCCTCAGATCATCATCACTGTTCTGTTTTGTTTTTGGGCCCATCTCTCTACCCTTTTTTCCCTATTTCCCTTTTCCAGGGTGCAGATCCACAGGTCCTTCAGCCCCGCTAGTCACGAAACTGACCAAACCAGTTCATAGACTGTTGACATCATGTTAGAAAGCCATGGACTCCTATCTGTCAAACTTACATATTGGTGATTTTTTTCTTT